CCCCCCACATAATCTCTGCACAAATCGGGGGTGGGAGGAAAGTGGGGTTCAGCTTTTGTGCTCGTGAGCCCCCCTGCCCCAGCCGGCTGGGAATCACACTCCACAAGCAAAGCCAGTGACCGTGGGGTTCAAGCCAAGCGCTGCGTATTGGGGTGGGAGTAGCACCCCACCCCAGGCATGGGGACATGGGAGGGAACCAGGCCATTGCCCCCCAGGCTGTCTCAGCATCCCTCCCCACCTTGAAAACAGGACTGAGTGGCGCAGATAAATCGAAGAGGAAATTGAGAGAAGGGGATCCTCCAGTGCCCCTCGCTCTGTGTTTATTTTCCCGGCACTGGTCCTCCTTGGTCATCCTTTATTCCCACGTCCCCTTCCCCTGCACTCATTCCCTCTCTCCCCACTCATGCTGTTGTTTTATTATCCCTCACTCTTCCCTTCTCCCTTCCATGCTTCACCTTTCTACCTTCTCTCCTCCTTCTAGCTCATGTTCTTACATGCTTTGTAGAAGACATCACCTCCTTCTATATTTTCCTTTGCTTTATTCCAGCAGCTTTTGGCCTCTGCAGCCTCAGGCCATTCTCCCTGTCTCCTCCCCTCACACCATTCCCTTTCTGCTCCCACCCCCTCCTCTGATCATCTTCTGCTGCCAAATGGGCAAGAAAGCCCACAAGGCAAAGCCTCCCTTCCTCTTCACACCCCACCAAAGAGCCATGACATATCACACCAGCACTGACACCAGGACCTCTGTGAGAACGCAGACCCAGGGACTTCACAGCAAAACCAAACCCCATAAAAAGCATCTGTGGAGGCCGAGTACAAGACAGAACAACAGAAAAACCGGGCAGACAAACAAGGAGGTGAGATGTGACCTGGGTTCCCCTGGACAGACGGAGAAGCGTGTGTATTGGGACAACAGGAAAGGAAGGAAAAGGTGTTTCATCACCTGGGACATCATCTGACAGCCGGGCTGGGACTCCTCAAACCTCAGCCAACACCCAGGGCTGGAGCAAAGGAGGGGTGTCCCACTGCAAGGGGACCCCGCAACCTCCTGGCATGGCCCTGCTCCACCATGGACCTCCCACATGAGGCAGGAGACCGATTCCCTTGGCTGTTCTCTGCTGCCATGTCCCCATATAGGGGAATAGCAGCTCTCCTCCTCATGCAGCAGCCCAAAGATGGGGAGATGTTCCGATATCGGGGTGTTGGGGAAGCCATGGGGCTTGTGGGACTTGCTCAGCACAGAGAGAAGCCCCAGCATTACCTGGTAGGCTTTGCTTGGACCCGGCACCCGGGCAGGCTTTGCTTGGTTTTACCTGGGGATCCACAGTGAGACGAGGCATGGAGGAGGCCCTCCCAGAGACAGCGTGGTCCTGAGTGTCCACAGGAAGGTAGCTGCCACGGTTAGAGGGCTGCACTCTTTGAAACTCCCTAACCTCTGGCTCCTGGAAACAAACACACAGCCAAGCTCTTGGGATGGGGCTGGAGCACGGCATCACGCTGCTTCTGCCCTGTTTGCAGGAGACAGCCCTGCTCGCTCAACCAGGAACAGAATTTAAGTGGGACTAAAAGGGAGTTTAAGATATACCATCCATCACATCACCACCGAAAAATAATGTCCAATTCACAACCCATTGCAGGTGAGCCCAGATACTTCAGGCTTGTCTGATGGCCAACTCATCTTGCACCTCTTTGGTGGCAGTGGGAACCCTGCCTGGATCTGGTGGTGCCCTGACTGCCCTGGCTTTAACTCCTTCTCCTTTTGCCAGAAGAGGACAAACACATGGGATTTTCTGTCTGACCTGCTTTAAGGGCTTTCTGGCCACATCCCCATTAAAAGAAAGCACGTTGGCTGTGGCACCTTTGTGCTTTAGTTAATTCCCAGTTTAGGGGACTCTTTTGTACAGGACACGGTGTCAAAGAGCTGGGCAAGGAGTGACACTTGACATAGAAGGTGACTTTATGTGGTGAGTGGATTCTCATCTGCCACCTCCCCAGTGTCATGACAGTGGCATGACCAGGGTGGCCGAGGCAGGGGACGCCTGCCTGCATGGTACACAGCTCACACAGAGCACCACAGATCCTGGGGACAGGGACCAAGCTGGAGATGCACAGTGGTACAACACTGCATCCAACGAGCATCGGGGTGGTGCGCCAACGCACACACACAGACATGGAGAGATATGTATATACATAGATATGTATACACACAGACAGACAGACACTGCTGCTGCCGGAGGGCTGGGCTCCTGTTAGAGACAGTTTGACACCTCGGTTTGGGATCAGGGACACCAGCACTGACAACAAAATGAACATGAATCCAAAAACATCAGATACCATCACTCAGCATGAGGTAACCCACTGAAATGAGTGCTCAGTGGAGGAAAAAAAAGAGCAGCCTGTGAAGAGAAGGATATTTTACTGCGGGACATCAGACCCTGGTCACAGCTCTCATCCCAAAAGCACTTACTGCTGCCTGGACTCACAGGCCAGGGCTGGTCCAGGGATGGCTGTGTCCCCAGTGCCTGGACAGAGGGGAGGGGTCTGAGTCCCAGCTGAGGACACCCGGGGATATTTGTCCCCTGCTTTGGACCCATGCGTGACCCAGCAGCTGCCACCCCTCTGCTGTGCTTGCTGCCACTGGGGCAAGGAGCATCGTTCCACCACCATGCCGGCAGCCCCACACCTCCCCATGCCCACCAGCATCCTCACTGGGACCACAGGTGTGTGGTCACTGTGACCACCAAGGCAGTGGGTGACTTTACCAGAGACTGGTGCTCCTGGTACTGCCCGTGGGACGGGTCCATGCACGCCAGCTGGAAGATCTCCTGTGGTGAGAGTGGGCTCAGGGAGGGGAACCCACTTCGGCTGCTCCTGCAAAGACAGTCCAGCTTCAGAAAGGCCACAAGTTGGGTGCTGCCATCGCTGGGCATCACCTCTCCAGCAGCTCAGAGTTGGGGAACCTCCATGCTTGCCCCCTAAGCTGTCAAGACCCCCAGTACAAGCATCAAGTTCCTTGTAGAGCTGAAGTGATGCCCAGGCAGAAGACACCAGTGCCCTATGTCCCGCAGCAGCAGTGAGAACATTCCAAGCACAGCGCCAGCAACTCCCACCATCTCATTGCCACCAGCCAGGGTGTTGGGAACCCCCACTGACCCTGCACCATCCTGGTACCTACTACTCAACTGCTCTTGAGGTTCAGGTCCATCCCAGACCCTCCTAGGTAAGAGAATTTGTACTTTGTGGCAGTGTGGTCCTGCAAGAAGAGTATCCAAACAGACACCTGGCCATCCCCCTTGGCCACCTCTGCTGCTGTTGGTGATGCTGATGCACACCAGCTACCTGGAATCCTGCAAAATCTTTGTGCCAGGAGCTTTCTGCCCCAGACCGGGTTTCCCCTGCTCTCAGCAGCTCTTTAACCCTCTGTGCATCCCAGTACCAGCTCCAGAGAACTAAACAAGAACTGCAGGAACAGAAAAGCGACAGGACTACCTTCCTTCTTCTCAGGGCAATACTCACAGGCCTGAGAGCGTGTCTTGCTGGAGGTAAGGCAGAGCCTTCGCATTCGAGATGATTTCCTGTGGCAAGGAGGATGGCTCCATGCGCTGGAACATGGGGGCATTTTTCTGTATGGAGGAAAGGAAGAAGCTGCGCCTGTAGGAAATGCAGATGAAGATCCCATGCTTCACCAACCCCAGTCCCCACCACTTGGGAAGGTGACAGCAGTCTCATGTTCACCGTTGGGTGCTGAGGATGCACGTACATGTCCCTTGGTAGTCACCAAAGCCCAACCTGTGCCACCATCCTCATCCCTCAGCTGCAATCCCATGCATCTGGCTGCACGTTTGGTCAGGACATGATAGAAAGCAGCAGAGGTGCTCTGAACTTCCCACTCCTGCACACCACGTGTCCTCACTGAGCCTCACCTGCTCCTCCAGCTGCTGCCGTTGCTTCTTCGCTTTGCTCTGCTTGTAGTAATCCATGATCATCATGGCTGCATATATTTTGCCAACAGTCAGGTCAGAGGCTGAGAGCATAAGAGAGGAAGGAAGGTGGGGGACACTTTTATCTTAACAGAAACAGCAGGTCTGAAGGCACCAGTGTGGATCTCAGGAAGAGCCCTGCTGTGGGATGCCCTGGTGACCCTCAAAGTCTGCTCTCCACTCCGTAAGAGAGATGAACACCCAGACACTCCATGTAGAGACAAATAGATGGAGATGGCTTAAAAGCACCACCATAAACCACCAAGACACACTGCTTCATCACATCACCATAAACCACCAAGACACACTGCTTCATCACACCATCATATGTAACAGAGCAAGTGATGCTCAGCCTCCTGCCGTTATATGCTCCAGAGATGATTTACAGGAGACTCTGAGTCTGGCAGGAGTAGATCACTGCCAACTGGGCATATTTCAAGAGGGTTCTCAAGGAGGCAGGCAGAGCACAAGGCAGAAGCCAGCCTGTAGCAACACAAACCCTTTTCCCACTTCTTCTCCACCAGCTGAGGATAGGTCTGACCAGTCTCCATCTCCCTTTGGGAAGAAGCTGCTGCAGGTATGACAGAAGCTTGGCAGTGATGACAGCCCTTGCAGAGACTCACTTTTTGGCATGGGTACCAACAGGTCAAGCATCTTCTGAGACAGGTGAGGCCAAATGGTCAGGATCTCCTTTTGAAGCTCGGAGTCTAACTGCTGCCAATCTGCACCACCTTGAACAGCAAGGGGAGGGAAAATGGCCCATACACATCAAGACCTCACACCAGGCTCCAACTAAAAACACCCCTTTCCCATCCTGAAGTGAGGTTCAGAAGCAGCAACCAGCTCTCTCTGGGCTGGGAGGGTCATCTTACATCAGCAAGCCTGGTCTCCTCACAGGGAAACTTCCCTACCATCCCTTCCATATGTGCCTCCATCTCCCCATCCCCTACCCTCCCACTCAAAACTGCCATCTTCAAGCTCATCTTGGGTCCGTCTCTGCAGCTCCAATCCTACTCCAGCCCACACACACCTGCTGCTGCCCCACTTTCTCTTTTCTGGTGAGCGGCTCATGTGCTGGTGAAGAAGGAGCTCCACTTGGGTGAAATCCTCAAATACTTGGCGACGCTGTGCAAGGGATTTGCAAGCTGAAGGGATGTGCTGAGTTTAGGAAGACCCAGGCTCAAAGGGAGCTGTCAACACGTGCCAACCAGAGACACTCAAGCCTGGGGCAACTCTGCTGAGCTGTAGGAGACCAAGGTTAACATATCTGCTTTATCCAGAGGGACTCAAACCCAAGGAGCTGTCTCAGCACTGGGCTTTTGCTGATATCTTGCCCTGGCTTGGGTTTTCTTCCAACAGCTGACCTGTTTCCAGGGGAGGTTTTATTGAAAATGGCATGTTTCTGCAGAAAGCTTTTGATCTGATGAATCAGAGCATTTCCAGCAACAAGAACAAAGCAGGTTTTCCTGCTCTGAGCATTTTATCTTCCCTGAGAGAGAGATTTCTGTTCCCCAGCCTTAGGAAGCCAAGTACATTTGATCTTTTACCTCCTTGGTTTGGTTTTGTACATGGGGGGGAAGGGGAATTCTCTCTCTCTCTCTCCCTTTGCACAGTGGACAAGAAGCTGGTTTTGCTCTCTAGAAGCAGATTCTAGTGGAAAACTGTCCACCTTTTCCCTAAAGAAATAAATGTTTTTATAGAAAGCAGCAGAAATGTGCCTGTTCAAGGTAATCACTTCCATCCACACGGCAGGCTCTGGGCGGCCAACACAAATTTGGCTGTGATGTCCTCAGGCTACTCAAACGATGAGTGCTGGTCACTCTGAAACCCTCCAAGCTCCGTCACCACTCTACCTCACCCACCTTACCTTTGGCAATTTTGATGTCCAAGGCTGTACGTATCAGTGCCATCAAGGTGGAGGTAAAATGGACCGTCATGTCCTCGGCCACGGGCATGTTCATCAGCACCAGTCTCTGCGCAAGAGAGAGAAGAAAACAGCGGACGGAAAACAATATCGAAAAACACATCGACCAGGCTGGAGGAAAAGAAATTAAACATTAAACAAAAGGGAACAAAAAAAATTAAATAAAAATCAAAAAATAAAAAGCAACAAAGAGTGTCAAAACAGCACAGCCAAAAAAGAAGGGCAAGGATCACCCCCACCACCCCCCACCCTCCCCGGCTCCTTCCACCCCAGGACACCGGCTCACTGCCTTCCAGGGCTCCTCCTGCACCCCAGGAACGGCCCCCGAGCCCCCCCCCCCTCGCCCCGG